CACATCTGGCACCAATAGAGCCGAGCAGGCCTGGTGCTACAGCTCTGTTTTGAACTACTGCCATGTTAGGATTACCCGACACCACCCAGGTTTTTTTTTTTTTTGTGTGTTTATGTTTGTTTTTTGTTAATGCCATCAGTATTAAATCACTGCTTAATTCCTGCTTTTTGAGGGGGAGGGGAGAAAAGATATTTTAAAAAAAAAAAAAAAAACCCAAATTTCTCAGCAACTACCCCGCTGCCCGGCCGGACGCGTGACTTGGGCGTTGGGAAGGAGCGCTAAGCGAGCCCGAGGTCCCCACGTTACAAACTGACTCCATCAATGAAGAATTTTGAGAGTCGAGCATTTATGCATGTCTTTGTGCATTAAATGAAAGGCAAAGGCTTCAAAGCCACGCTTATTAAATGTGCCTTAAAAAGAAATCAATGCCAGATGTGACCAAAGCAGCCTAGTTAGTGCCTCCCCGTAACACACACGCTACTCCGGGCACTGCGGCCCTCTTCCCTGAAGGTCACCCGCAGTTTCACTCAAAGTCCAGCCAAAAGTCAAAGCTTAGATCAAAATGATTCCCCGGAGGTACACACATTTGTGTAATTAGTTTCACCTTGTGTCTGCGCAAGATAAAATACTGGGCACGTACCCAAGTTCCTTTTATAAATTTCTGTATTGTCTTTACCCAGGTGTAAAGGGGTGAGATCTAAGCAAAACATTGTTTCATCCTTGTCAGTCACTTAAAAACATTTTCTAAAGTAATTACAGTCTGACAAGGCACAAATAATTGCACCTGGAGGGGCTTTCAGGCCACAGAGGTTTTAGTATCCTATTCTGGTACTCAGGCATCACATGAAAACTGTCACAGAAACCACACGGGGGAAAAAAAAGGATGTTTTTTGGGGGGGTACTACACAGCCCTGGGGAACGGACTAGCAGCAGAGCAGTGGTTTCCAAACCGTACTGAGGCCAGGGAAACTGGGCTGCAGTTGGGTCACGAGACTGCATTCGACAGTATGTTCAACCTGCAGGCTGAGGAGGTGCATGGTGGTCTGGGAAAGGCTTTACAAGCTGAAAAAAATGGCGCAACGGTGCAGAAAGCATGGGAACCTCCATCGCAGAGCCTCCAGGTTGGGGTGGGGGGGTCCTTGCAGGTTGCTGCCATCTGATGGCAGTTGGGCGGGCTGCAAAGCAGATTTTGGGAAGGGTGGCAGCACCGCAGCCCCAGCCCCACCATGCAACATCCCTGACAGGCACCAGCTCAGCCTCCCCCAGCCGGAAAGCTTCCGGGGGTGACTTTCTTCTCATCTGCATAGGTGGACCTGCCCAAGCTAGTGACAACTCAGTGATGGAGCAACAGATGGAAAGTCACATTAATACTAGCAAAAATGGCCATTTGGAGGTTAAATCAGAGGCTGCCAGCTACAAGGCATGCCTGCTGGCTCTGAAGAAGCACCAGACTCAGTGCAAACTCAAAACTTAAAGCTGGACCGCCCCACCCCACCAACCCTGTAGAGAGAGAAGTGCGAGGCAGAGTATTACGACTTGCACGCACTGTAATTCCACCCATGCCCAAACCCACCAGGGAAGTAGAGCAAAAATAACCAACGAGAAAGATACTGCCATGGGAATGGGAACAGCAAGGAAGTAGCAAACTGGATAAACGAGGAGCTGGGCCCTGGAAACCAGACATGCAAGGTTTGTTGGTGTTTCTAAAGAGGAACTTAATATCATTCAGTGGAATTTTCCCTGCAGGGCAGAGTTTTTCCCTAACAAAGAGAAAAGGCTTTTGAAGAGCTAGAAGTGAACTTGCTGTATCTCAGCTACATCTGCACTCAAATGCAACATCCCAACCTTTCACTTATCATGTTTATGGCAACGCTATTCAAACGCTTGGCAGTTGTTGAGACAGAAGTGTCACTACGCCCATTTTACAAACGCGAAATAATGGAAGGGCTAGCCAAAGATTAGCAGGAAGCCAGTACTAGTATGAACGCTGACCCCAGTTTGGAAACTAAACCTCATGACCCATCCCACCGCTCGGTGCATTCATGGCAAGGCCACTCTAGCTTTTCTTGGCGCTCAGTTTTTTGGACAGCAGTAGTAACACAAAGTCCACCAGTCTGCACACTCTGGGGAGGAAGAGCAAGAGGAAGAGAAGGAGGAGGAGGAGGCAGGGGAGAGCAGACAACCCATCAGCCAAGCCGATCACCCCATGAGAGCAGCTTAATCTCCCTGGTCCATCTCCAAGTCGCTCTTGGTTTGAGTGGCACTAGAACAAAAATACTACAGCCAATCTCCAAAATGCAACGTATATGTATTATTGTGGGTAGATTTGCAGAAACATCTGTTGATTCTTTTGTCTTATTTCAACATATAAAAGAAAAAGCAACAAACAAACCACAGAAATTCTTACCTATAATTTCCCTTTTTGCTCAGCTGTTCTTTAAAGTGCCCAAGTGTCAGGCTCTGGGCCTTTAACATCCTCCGGTAGGGAATTTCTTCTCCACAAAAAAAATACGTGACAACCAACTCACTAGACTGAGAGGTGTGAACAGCTGGGAGTTTCTTTGGCTCTTTGTGACTGAAAACCAAAAAAGAAAAACAGACAAAAATTCTATTTTTTCCGTTTGAGAACAAGTAGTTTCACTGCACTCAATCAAACAGTGTTTCTGCCACATATAACGCCAGTCAGAAATACCGTGGGTGTGACCCGAGAGTCAGATATTCCTGTACTCGAAGAGAATTTGTCATTCTGTGTTTGTACAGCGCTTAGCCCTGTGGGATGCTGGTCTAGGACAACAGCTCCTGGTCACTTTGATGGTAGCAACATTAGCATCACAAAGCACCGAGCCTCGGGGTGCATGTGGGCAGGGGTGAATTCTTCCCATTTTATGGATGGGAGAACTGAGGGGTGGAGGGTAGGAAACTTGCTGAAGGATCGGACAGCAAGGCGACGGCAGACCGGAGACGTGAAGGAGCATGTGGAGGGCCCTCGCCACGGGCTAACCTCCACCTGCCAAGCCAAAGTATCGTACGTGTCTGATTTTAAAAGACTCGTTTCCTCTGTCTTTATACAGACCAGCTGACAGAAGATGACAAGCTTAATTCCTTCTCGTGCACCAAACTACCTGCACCCAGTAACAACTAACAGAATAAAACCACTGCAAGGCTATTCGCCTGAAGTACACAGGTAATACTATTTTTACTTGTGAGCATTGAGGATAAAATTAACTGGATCTTGCCATTGAAAATAAGGAATACTTCTGAAAGAATAATCAAAATAATATTATGCAGCAAAATGGCAAGGGTCTAGTGAATGCCATGTAGCCAAATCTACAACTACTTCTGAGGCAATGTACACTTGGCATGTCAAAAGGTCACAAAGTGTTAGTCCGCAGTAATTTAGTCTTCCTAATTTGTTCTAAGTCTTTGTAGAGTGGCTTCAGAAAAAAAGCTGCTAGCAAAGACAGCTGGTGGACTTAAGGTCAACCAATTAAAAATGAAAGGCTCTAGTCAGGTGGCTCAGGCTGGACTTCAAACATTACTCATTGCTTAAGATGAAGAGGGTAAGAAAGAAAACTTTAATTATTTAGGCCATTTTAGACCTCTCTGTAGCAGATTTCTTGTTAAAAGAACCATCCTGTAATTAGACTAATCCAATCTTTGTCCACTTTACAGGAATGCAAGTTAAAAAGAACCAGAGACAAGATTTGAAAATGTTTTGTTCTGTCTTTAAGAAGAATGTTTGAAAGACTAAACTTCAGATATAAAAATTTCCTCTCTTTTCAAAGCACAGTCCATTTAATGACAATATAATTATTATATAAATATATTTCCCAATCCTTTTATGCATATGCAATACTTACTCTTCTGTTGTTAGACTTGCATTGCAAAAAGGGGTGTTTCCCCCCTGAACAGCAGTGGAGTGGTTTCGATCCCTCTGCTGATTTGAGGTTGAACATCTGAAGTTGGGAGGAAGGGGGGGCAAGTGGGGAAGAGAGAGGGGAAAAAAAAAAAAAAGATTTTTTTTAAAAATTGTTGAAATACAATCTTCTTAATTGAAGTCTCCTGTGGGTCATTAAGTTTACTCTTTGTATCAACCCTTACATATTGTAAACAATCAAAGGAAGAATTAAAAAAGCTGTGGGTTAATTTATCCTTCCATACTTGAATGAATGATAACCAGTCCAACTCTGCTCTTGGTATGTAGCTGGAGTTGGTCCCAGGGAAAAATGGGCAAATTACAGCCATCAAAAGAGTGGAAGTAATAGTCTAGGACTCAAACTATTTGTGCTGGGGTAGGGTGGGGTTGGAATAAGGAAGTTCATCGTTGGGGCTCCGCCAAGCTGTGCTGTCATTCGTCCGTACGGTCCAGCCCCATTACTGATCTGGACCTCTACCTACACGGGAGAGCAGGACAACAGCCACACGTTCACATTTGCCTGCTATAACCTTGCTAAGTCATCTGCCAGGCCACCGTTACACGCTCTGGGAGACCAAGAGCGCAAGCTACGCCTGGCAAACAGCCTCGGCAAAGGCTGCTGCAGAAACCCGCATTGCTGCAGATGCAGAAACCCGCGTTGCTGCAGAAACCCACGTTGCTGCAGATGCAGAAACCCAAAAAAACCTGCATTGCTGCAGAAACCCACGTTGCTGCAGATGCAGAAACCCACAGAAACCCGCGTTGCTGCAGAAACCCACGTTGCTGCAGATGCAGAAACCCAAAAAAACCTGCATTGCTGCAGAAACCCACGTTGCTGCAGATGCGGACCCCCACGCCGCTAACGGCATCCTGAGCCCAGCGAAGGACCGAGGTGACCAGAGCCCAGCCTGTCAAGGCGGAGGCTCTCCCATCCCCACCCTACCATTCCTCCTTTTTTTGGTCATTACCGTTGTTTCTGAGGCTTGGAGACTTCTGCTAGCCGGCGACAGGCTTCCTCCAGCTGCGCGAGGGTGTTGGGAGGGGTGAGCGGAGGCATGGCCGGGTCCTGGACGAAGGGGTGGGCTGGCTGCACCCCGCGCGGGTGGCTGCTGGTCCCCCATAGGTGGTGTGGCGGCTGGGGCGCTCACTGGGGGCCCCTTTGGCGAAGTCGGAGCTGTAGGCCTTCTTTGTGCTTTGTGTGCTTGGGGAGGGGAAGAAGCCGGGTTAGAAAAGCTGGAAAATATGACTTTAATAGCAGCTCCTATTCTGCTCGCTCCCTCTCAAAAGTCTGTCATAACATGAAAGGAGGTTTATTGCCAAAAACATGACATTTTTGTGGTTTTTCTGGTTCTGCGGAACAGCTTTTATATTAAACCGGAGGAGCAAAGAGTCTCATTTGTTTTTAGCGATTGTAAAAATAGACAGCCCATGTAATATATAAATATTTACCGGGAGCAATATTGCTGTAGACAGCTGCGGCCGGCAGGGCCACGCTCTCCACTCCTCTGCTGCTCCGCTTGGCCAGCGTGCCCGTCCTGCTGGGGGAAGAGACAAGGGGACATGTACACGTGCATGGTTAATCCCTTGCACCGCTGCATGCAAGTCCTTTTATCGCCCCCATGCCGAGCCCATCCTCGACCTTCACCGCCTGGACCGTAACGCATGAACGCCACGTGGTTTTCCCCAATTAATCCCATCGAGGAAGGAAGCATTAGCAGTTATGGGTGGGCCCAATGGAGAAATGCTGGCCAACT